GATGATCTGAATATCCTTTACAGTCAAAGCCTCTTTGGGATGGAGGGAATAGAGTGCTTCTGTCAACAGTGGCTCATTGCCATTTCTTCCTTCCTCTCAGGAAGAGAGAAAACTAGCAATTCTGGCTTCCCTTTCCCTGGATACATAATAAACATGTCATGGCTCTCTCCTACCCTTTGGTGCCTGTGTTGATTTGTCTGAGTAGAATGGCAGAGTTTAAAATCATTCCTGCCTACTTTTCTTCCTCACCTTACTGAATTCTATGAGCTTATTCTAACTGAGTCGCACAGGAGAAAAACAGTCCCAGAGTGACCCCTTTTCACTAAGCAATGGGTCATACTTAGCAAAAAAGAGAAACATTACCAAAGTATATCTTATATATATATATGTGTATGTGTATATATATATATATATACAAAGTAATATCCATAATCCAGATAGCTTTTACAGAGGCAAGAGAAACTTCATGGTATACTCTCTAGACTCATTTAAGCAACGAACCTTTGAATGTGTTATATGTTCATTTGCTCTATGTATAGGCATAATTTTATGTTTTATCATCAAATTTGCTCATGAAGTTGCAGTGAAATAGAACTGTATTGGCACCAAATACTGTAACGTATTCATAAGATGCATTCTGTGGTCATGCATTATATGATGCATATTATATGAAGCATTATGTTGAAATAATGGAAATAAAACCAATAGGACAAGGTATTTCAAGGTATACAATGCCACATATACCCATTGAGTGTGTAAACATTGATAAAAGGATGTTTGAGCTTTTGTGAGTTCTTTTCTCAAGTGGTTACTTGTAGAAAAACCTGTGAAGGAATGGGTGTTTTTGTAGGTGTTTTGTTTGTCAACTGTTGTAATTTAGTACTGATGTCAGAAAATCTTCATCTCTGACACGATCACTAACAGGAACTCTTCTTATGTAAGTGATTCCATTGATTTCAAGTAGCCAAAGTTGTTAATGAGCTTCATGATGAAGTTACTCATCAACTTATTCGCATATTCAGATAAATAATCCTTTCACATTTCACAGAGAACATGAAGGCATGCTCTTCTACAAAGGCAGGGAGAAGGTAGGCCCTGATTGTCTTCGGAAAATGCAGATGCTTTGGATCTGGCTCTGTAGTTCTACAGCTTCTGTGAAGGAGAACAAAATGTTTAATGAGGCTGAGAGTCAGCTGAGATGGTGCCTAAAACTGGGAAGTGGGGTGTAGCATTGAGGGGGTGGGGAGGAGGTATGTTGTTGATTTTGTCTTGGGAAACGGTGCTGACTGGGTGGTTGGTTGTATTTTTCTGTGTAGTAACTGCGTTATGAACAGGATTCTGCCTTCCTAATAATGTTTGGAGGTTTGTAAGGGTTGCCAGAGCACGTTTCTCATCCCAGTTCTGGTGGCGGTCTTTTTCAGGGTGTATGAGTAATCATGACAAAATAACCATGTAAGTAAGTAAGCCTAGTTTTCAGTGGATTTGTGTCCCTTTGACCTACCACTGAAAATCCACTTGCTTCAGCATGTTTCTGAATAATGTTTCCTAGTTCTCTGTACCAAACACCAGGTTTTACTGCAAAATTAAACAGAAATGGGAATTTATAGAGCTTTCTTTCAACATAACTAACTGTCAAACACCATTCAGGCTAACATCTCTGTAGCACTCGCAGCTCGTGTGGCCATGTGTCCTGGTATGTAACTTCCTATTGTCACTTAATCCACCAAGTATATAAGTGAGTGCAGTAACATGAGAGAGGGAGGAAGGTGTCTCATGTAAAAGAGAAATTGAGAAAATAAGAAAACTCCTTCTTCACAAGAACATTACTTTCTTCTTTGTGTGGGTGTAAGTGCTCATATATTAAAAGGACATCGAGGTTTAAATTAAAGACAACAAAAGGCTTTCAAAGTGCCTGCTCATTGCAGGGGGTTGGTCTAGATGACCTTTGAAGGTCCTTTCCAACCCAAACTGTGCTATGATTCTATGATCTATCTATCCGTTACAGTATCCTTGTATCTCCCAGCCACCAATTTTCACAAAGTCCAGAGGATTTTAATCATATCAGAAATGTTTAGATCGAGATAGGTCAGTCATTGAGAGACTAGTGCTGTTCCCCTAGGAAAACAGGTTAAATGCTAGCTAGAAAATAGGCAACTTTTGCAGACTTACTTGTATTTGACTTCCTTTATTAAAAGCTGCTTCTATTTTTATTTAGAAACAGTAATGGGATACAATGGTTGCTAGTTCATTAATTTCAAATAAAAGATTGGATTTTGTCTTTAAATATCCATGTACAGTGTGAATTGCATCTCTGAGAAAAGGGGAGTCCCAAACATGTAAGAATGTTAAAAAAGTGTTCACACAATGCATGTAAGATATAAAAAAAAATACCAAATTCAAGTCACTCCACTTTCTTTTGTCACCCTTCTGCAGCTGTGAATTGTAGCATATTTAATCACATGAGTAAACCCAAGAAGACTGATTTCTAAAGTGCAGAAGCTGTTATGTCAGTCGCATAATTAACTTAGAAACCTGTTGTTCATGAGTAAGTTAAGGCTTGCAAAGTGGTAATATTAAAAAAGTGTTAAGCTCTCTTTTTAATTACTATGTAGAGCATCAGGACTGTTGTGGTTAATTTTTAGGCATAGAAACTGAGATAATTCCCTCCAGGCTGATCTTGGTTTCTTTATTTCCTTGTGAAACAAGTGTGCATGCCATCACTGAATGGAGAACAGGAAGAAAATTATTCTGGATTTTCCTTCTTTCGCATTCCCTTCCTTGAACTCAAAGGGTTAAATTTAAAAGGAAAAGGAAAAAAAAAAAAGTTGTTTGTCCTAAATGTTCTTGCTGAAATCTATTATGCATGAAAAGAGTCTGAGTCCATTTGCGAGACCTCTAAATGAACTCCATTCATTCTGCGCCTAGAAATGTCCATTCAGCCAGAAACAGACACAATAGTTACAACCTTATTTCTTTGGCACCAGTACCAGCTTATGAAAAGTAAAGGAACTGTTATGAAAAAGTATAGTAATTTTTCTATGCTAGTTATATAATGCTTAAGTTAAATCTCTTTAGGATTTGAATAATGCAATATTTGCATATATATTCTTTGCCTAGAGTTGCAATGTAGTAGCAATGCATTCATCTAAAATTTGTCAACATTGATATTTTGAGAATGTAAGTTAACCCAGCTTGACTTACCTTGAGGTAAAACAAGGTTACAGGGACATCTGTTTCTAGATGAATCATAAATTAATTATAAATAGTGGCTATAAAGAAAAGAAGAATTTTGAATTTTTGACTTTTAAAACATTAAAACTTTGTTTACATGTGGAAGGTAAAATACGTCTGATACACATCTCAACACTGTAGGAATATAGTAGTATAATTTCATCACTTTCAAATCCATGAAGATAAATGAAGAATTCCATATTCCACAGTTTGTAGGTCATAAACACAAAGTGGGGATTGACCCATTGTGGTCAGCAGAGTGTCATGATCTTTGGGTGGATGCATGTTATGTCAGACCTGTTACATCTTATTTTAAATGACTTGGAGTGTTGAGCAAGGTTACAGAGTTATCATTTGCTTTCCTTCTAAGCTTAGGAATGAACAAAAATCCTGAGCATGTAGGAGAATCTGGCTTGCCTTCATGCAGGTAGGGCTTTTGGAAGCCCTCCTCATTCTTGCTGGCATTGTTAATATATGTATGAGAAAGTACTGCATATTCCCATGGGCGTTCCCTCTCCAGTTCAGGTGTGGGAGTTTTAAGGATGAGTCATAAGTAACTGTATGTATATTTTCATTTGTTCCCGTTTGCTGACAGTCTGTGGGGGGCATATACATTTGTTAATGTCATAACATGCAGATAGTGTTTGATGTAGGCATAAACATTCTTTCTGGAGGGAAAGTTGACAGCAGATAGAAAATTCAGTTCTTCTTCTTTGACCTGGAGTCCTTAATTTAGATTCATCAGAGGCTGAACACCCTGTTGCTGTTGACTGTCATGACTGCTCTGGGCCTTTAACTGGGAAGTTAGTGACTTGGCTGTTTTCATGCCAACTCTTTACTGGTAACACCAGGGCCTTTAAGTACTAATCATCATCTCAGAAGGTGGCTTTGGTAGCTGGCTAGAGCTGACTGAGCATTTCCTCCAACAAACTGTAGAAAATACTATTTGTGGGAAGTGTGTGAGTGATGAGGCATGGGTGAGGGGCTCATTGCAGGAAAAACAACTAACAGGAAAGCGTAAGTAGAAACATCATCCTTGCTCTCAACCAGTTCTTTATCTGACAGTCCTCCTGCTGGTTGCTTTTCCTGCTGAGTCCCCTCCTCTTTCCGTCCCCTTGACATGCAAAATACACATCCCAGTGAATACCTACACAATGAGAGTTACAATACTTTGTTACTGAAACTCCCTGTATGCCCATTCTGGAATTCTTGGGTAGGATTCCATTGTTTTGGTTGCTGCTGAGGTTGATGTGATGTGAATTGCACCTGTGATATGGCCTGGTCTAGGGTTGTACAATGCAATAATAACTTGAAGCTAACAGGAGTTAACAGAGTAAAGGTTTCAGGATATGCTTTCCACAAAGTAAATTGTTTTTCAGGTTACGTTTTACTTCTTATTAATATTTTCATCTGTAAATGTTGTGCTTGTATATGAAAATCAAGGGCCATATACTTATTTTCCATAAAGTATGTGTTTTCTCTTCTATGATCTTCAGCCTGACTTCTGGAATCAGTTCTTTACACTTAAATGTTGTTGATATTTGATTTTGGTGAAGTAATTTCTGATCAGCATCAGCATTCCAGCACTTTAAGTATTTTCCCAGCCTAGAGATCTGTCAGTTCCCATTTCCTTATTATTAGGAAATGAAAATTGAATAAGGTGATTCTGTGACAATAGACAAAAAAGGAAAACAACAATTAAAAAGAATGATAAAATATGTCCCTCATAACTTACTGCTGACAATTCATTTCTGCTTTTGTTCGTTTAGGTACTTCCCATCAAGGTGGCTATTCCCACGATGCTGTGGTCCATGCAATACAAAGCTGTGGCATTCGTCATATTGACACAGCAAAACGATACGGCTGTGAATCTCTGCTCCAAAAGGCCATCAAAGAGAGTGGTGTGAAACGAGAGGACATCTGGCTAACTACCAAACTGTGGCATAGTGATTATGGCTATGAAAACACAAAAAAAGCATGCTTGGAGTCATGTGAAAGACTTGGTGTTGAATACCTTGGTATGAATCTTTGCATATGCTCATTTATTGCACCTTCTATGCGAATATTTGCAAAGATGAATGAATTCCTGAAAAAACAATGTAGAACAGATAGATCACAGAAACCAAACCCTGCCTTTGTTTACATATTTGTAGATACCTTGTTCTGTTCTCTAGGAAGTTCACATGCATTCAACAGAAAGCACAGAATTTTTCCTTACTGCAGATATTTTACAACAGATCAAGGTATTTTTGTAAAGCCTGGTTGGATGGGACTTGGAACAAGCTGCTCTAGTGGAAGGTGCCCCTGCCTGTGGCAGGGGTTGGAACTGGGTAAGATTTAAGGTCCCTTCCAACACAGACCACTCTGGAATTCTGTGAGGAACCACTACATGACTTTCATCTATTTTGCTAAAAACACCTGAAAAGATTCATAAACTTTCTGATAATTTATTAGTAACAGAGAGACAAAAATGCCTAAATTCTTCTGTGGTCTGTTAAATCTCAAGGAATGGGATTCCTTTCTAAAACTTGTTTTGTAGGTCTCTTAACTTTTAAAAAGTCTCAGTATCTGCCTTTGGCTTGGCCTGTTGCAGTATACTGCAGGGAAAATGTTAGCAGTATCTACAAGCCTTTAGAAGACTAACTCTAAGTAGCACTGGATTAGATTTACGCACTTTGGAACTTACCCTGATTATAAACCTCTCATCCAAGACGTGATGTTGGAACTCCCTTATTAGACAGGCAAAGAGTTGCAATAATGACACTGATTAATTCTTTGCAACAGCTCATGGGAGAGGAGGTACCTGATCAAAATAAACATGGTGTTTTTTAAAATGCTTTTGCTGCTTCTTCCCCAGCTGGAGCAATGAAAAGGAAGTTGAGGGAGAGGAATATGAACTTAAACTAATAATCTAAAACAGTGATGTTGGTGAAGATAGTGTTTATGCTGATAATTCAGAAATAATTGACCTAACAGCCAGACATTATCTGTCAGTGTCCTGAAAACCCTCATTTTGCTTCTTTCTTCACACTGTCCCCCTGTTACAAATAAATACACTTTAAAGAAGAAGTGAACAGCTTTTGTGACGTACATAACTTGCAGGATTAATGGCATGCAGTATTAATGGCAGTCGTATGCTGTATTCACTGGCTTTTTTTCTTGGGTGCTTTGTAAGATGAAGGGGAAAACAACCCTGTATCTGTTAGACTGAGACATTTTTGGTTTCATTCTTTCTGGAATTGTATTCTTTAACTTCCTGCCCAGGTACAGAATAATGCAAAATGAAATCAAATCTCTTTTTTGTCTGTCTTGGGCAAATACAGGTCACTACAAGGAGAAGTTCATAGGCAAAGTTTCAAGTGCTGACTTTCTCCTCTAAATTAAGAAATAACATGTTCCCTCTCTGCTTACTGCTGCTTACGTTTTGTGTTTGCTTGCTTTTTTCTGCCTGCTATGGCACTGGTGCTGAATGTTGATGAGAGGAAAGCTTGACTCCCTTCCAGGAATTAGTTTTCAGTGATTTGCTTTTACTTTCTCAGGTAGTAGGCTGATTAAAGTGGGTGGTCACACCAATACTTAGTTTACATATTGCTGCTCAGCAGAAATATGTGAAACACTGAAAAAAATACCTGAGAGCAAGAAATGTGGAAATACTGTCACCATTTGAATGAATCGTGGGAATGACAGAAACAGAAATTCAGTTTGTCAGATAAGTTCAGCTACGAGACTTTTTTTCCCTCACACCACTAAGACAAATTAAGTATTACAACTGCCTATGCAATTTGCAACATCTCTGTTGGATCAATTCCACAGACTATTTTTGTTAAACATAGTATGATAGCACTTGTGTGAAAGAGTTCTATGTTTAATACTGTATGTGCTGGTGAAAAAGACCTTCAGATGAGGTGCAATACACGGTGTGTTTTGTGGAGTTCACAGAAACCACAGAGTCACAGAATCAAAGGATCCACTAGGTTGGAAAAGACCTTTAAGCTCATCCAGTCCAACTGTACCCCAGCACTGCCAAGGCCACCCTAACACATGGCACTGAGGCCTTGTCTCCACGGTGTGTGAACACTTGCAGGGACGGTGACTCCAGCCCTGCCCTGTTCAGCCTGTTCCAATGCCTGAGCACCCTCTGGGGAAGGAATTGTTCCTCAGCTCCATCTAAACCTGCCCTGGTGCAGCTTGAGGCTGTTTCCTCTTGTCCCATCCCTTGTTCCCTTGGGAGCAGAGCCCAGCCCCTCCTGGCTCCATCCTCCTGTCAGGCAGTTGTAGGGAGCTATCAGGTCCCCCTTGAGCCTTCTCTTCCCCAAACTGAACCCTGCAGGTCCCTCAGCCGTTCCCCATCACACTTGTGCTCCAGGCCCTGCACCAGCTCCATTGCCCTTCTCTGGCCCTGCTCCAGCACCTCAATGTCTCTGTTGTAGTGAGGGGCCCCAGAGCTGAACACAGGATTCAAGGTGCGGCCTCACCAGTGCCCAGTGCAGGGGCACAATCCGTGCCCTGGCCCTGCTGCCACACTGGTGCTGATACAGGCCTGGATCCTGGTGACTTCCTGGCTGCCTGGACACAAGCTGCTCATGTTCAGCTCCGTCAGTCAGCACCCCCAGGTCCTTTTCCATGAGCCCCACTCTTCCCATCATGCTTTAGGATGTCCTGTACCTTCTGTCTGAAAGCACTCAGCTGGAAGCTGCTGTTTTAATGATTTTCAAGCAAAAAGTGCCAGTATCTTAGAACATGAACTTTTGAAGTGTTTAAAGAGTGCTTAGCGTAAGAGCTTTTTGTGGGAAATTGAGGCTTATCACAGCTATAAGAAAAGTTAACCATAATGCAGAGGATTGGTTTGAAGATGTTACAAGGTTGTAGAATTAAGCTTAGATATCCTAGCTCTGTTCTCATTTGCTCCTGCACTTTGTGTCCCTCTTCTGCTGGGTAGTCTATACCATAGAGTGGACATGAAATCCATGATAAGAAAAGATCCTGTAATGCAGGGCAGTTTGTGCCCAAGCTCATTTAGGAAAGTGAATTCCTTAGTTAAAGCTGGCAGTTTTTGTGTCAAATAGGAATGTGAAATAGGTAGGTGAAATGTACCTGAATCAGAATTTCTTGATTTCATTCTATGATATTAACCAAATATGTGCAGGTTTACAGCATTTCCCTAAAGATACATGGTTCATATAAAAATGGAAAGTTCCTAAATAATAGCTCTAGGATGCTGGACCTTTATGTTGGAGGGAAAGTTTGTCATTCAGAAGACTGCAAAAAGAAAATGTTGTAGGAGGCCTGGCAGCTAAATGTGTATCTGAGCAATTTGTTCCAGGAAAGGTCCTGTTAATTTTCTTGAGGAATGTTATGTGCTACCCAGTCCATCCATGCAAACTGAGTTAGAGACTTAGGAAATAATCATAGGAATTGATAAATCCAAGCATTAGCAGTATACGTAGTGCCAGTTGTTGAGACAGATGAACTGTTGGAAGCAGCCATAGCCTTTTAAGAGAAGTGTTCCATGTAAAATACTGTTATGAAACCTTTTCGTAAACAGTTTTTGAGCAAATGGATTAGGAGAGTACTGTTCTGGGATTTTTATTGGAGTCAGTAGATGATATATCCATGAGAAGCTGGAAATTTATATTAGCTGTGGGCAGTGGCTGTAACAGATATTCTGCTCCTTGCAATTTCTAAATGTGGTCCTCAAGCAGCAGTCACAGTAAACCAATATGAAATGGCAGCAAATCTTCAGGGTTTGGCACTAGCAGAACACATTCCTTGGGTTTTGGATCAAACCTCCGAAGTAATTTCTTCTTGAATGTGATTTGTGGGTTACTGAATTCATAAACAATTTGATTTTCCTTTTGACTCTTCAGAGCCTGTCACATCCAGGCAAATCTGACCTGTCACAAATCCTCAACTGGAGTTGGACAAATGCTCTATCAGCATATTCAGTGTACTAGGTGAATCACATGAATGATGTTAATACACCCAGTTCAGATTGTGTATAATTCAGAACACACTGGAAGTTGCTTCACATCGATCCTTGTTCCAGTGGAATTTAAAAGAGGTGGGACAGGTGAGAAAAATCATCATGTACATACTAAATGCAGTGACAGTTGAGAAAAGCAGGGAAAACACAAGCACCGCATTGAGATAACTGTGCAAAACATTGGAAAATAGACTTTTGCTTGTAGGTTTGGTATGAGTTGGGGCTTGTTCTTCAAAACTAGGCTTGTCCTAGTGAATTTTTACCTCTATTTTTAATAGTGTATTAGGAATTTTATTAGGACCAGAACTGCACACTCTTAGTTCCATGACAACATGCTGTTGGCTTTTAGATGTGTAAAATGTCCCTGTCCTTTTGAGTTAAGAACTGTGTTGATTGTAGGCGCTGCAGCTGAGAAGCAGTGAGCCGCACTGTTTTAAATGTGTGTGAACAGTTCACATGTTAATTTTAGTTTTCCTGCAGCAGTGTTTTTGACATCTGAATGAATTTCAGGCCCTCACTAACCACTGCACCGCTACAGCCTGATGATAAAGGGTGATTTAAAAAGCTGGTAAATACAGAATTTGATTGTGAATATTTGGAGATTTTTTTTCTTCTTTCTCAAGCACATCCTGATACTGAATCATTGTGGGGTTTTGGGGTTGAGATTGTTTTACAAAATATATGGTTGGAAGGTGTCTCAAAGTATTGGTTACTCTATCCAACCTAGAAGGCACAACCCCATCGTTCCCAACACATAGAAATGTAACCTGTTCTTAAACACCTCCAGTGATCAAGTTCCACATTTCTTGATTACTAGCACCTGAAGCTATTTTGATAAACAATTTCAAACTAATTTCTTGCCTCCAAAATCCAAATAAGAGTGTTTCTGTTCTTGTCATCCCCCACGAGGGGAAATACTTTAAGCAAGAGTGTGGGTGTAGGTGTGAATATGAAAATGAAATTGTAGTCCTGGGTTTATGAGGTGCTTACTGCTTTTCTTGGCCTACAGGTATTATGAAAAGGTTTCTACCAGATGCAATAGAAGTAAGCAAATCCCAATTTAAAATTAGCACTGCTTAGTTGATTTCAGTAGAAGGGCAGCTCCATTGCTTGTTGCAAGATACATTGTATTCCTTCCACTTGCAGTTGGGCTGGGGTGGTTTGTGCGTGACTGGTGGAAAGACCATTCTACTCATTTATCTCTGAGATAAGGTACCTTTGCCCCACATCTTTTGTGAACGCTTCTTGCAGTCAGGAAGGCTGCACTTTTAAGATGCTATTCTAGCCCTAAAGGTGTAGATTTCTAATGGGGGAGTAATTTTATTTCATAGAATCATAGGATAGTTAGGGTTGGAAAGGACCTTAAGATCTAGTTCCAAACCCCCCTGCCATGGGCAGGGACACTTCCCAGTAAACCATGCCACCCAAGGCTCTGTCCAGCCTGGCCTTGAACACCGCTTCAACAAAAAGCATAAATTAAAATAAACATCATAGTATGATATGGACATCACAACCTGATAACTTGGCCTTCCTAAAATAAAGGGCCAACAACTCATTGTGTTCGCACTGAGGAGGTCCCAGGCACTAACACAGGGAAGGCTGATGTACTGCACGTTTTTAAATACCCAAGGCCAGAGATGTTTTAGTTATCAAATCTTTTAAAAGTCATTCTTCTGAGAGTGCTCCTGTTTCTTGGGCTGAGTACAAAGCATCTTTGTAGAAATTCAGGATGTAGCTATTTCTGTGAACATTTTCATACTGTGATGTCTAACTGAATACTCAGGCTTTTGGAAAAGTAGCTTTTGGTGAAATTCCACTGAAGTTAATGGTTATTTTTTGTTGGTGTTATGTGCTGTGGTTTTGCATAGTTAAAGCAGTTGTTATTAGTCTGATTTGGAGAACATAACAAACAGCAATTAAAGATATGTAATTCTCCCATTTTTATGTGAGGCATCATATACTAATAACTTACATATGACATTTGCTTTATCTAAGCAAAAAAGTTTAAATTAAGACCTGACAGTCTCTGGCAGTAAGTACTGCCAATGGCACATATATAACTGTGGATCAAATTCAACGCTTGGTGTTAGCAATTCCTAATGCTAATTCTTGGGGTTGCATCTAATGTAAGTCAGTGGAAATTTTGGAAGAGACTTTCTTGGCAGCAGAATTACACTAGTCCTGAGATTTTTAACATAACCTTACCAAATGCTTTAATCAAGATCCCAATATTAGTTTTTGCTGAATGCCACAGAACGTGGTATTTATTCCTATGCCATATATTGGTATTTATTCTTAATAAATACCTTTTTTTTTCAGAGCAATTAAAGAAGAAGTAATTATTCACAGCTCAGTGATGAACAAGTCTGCTTGTGGTTTTTTACTTGTTTGCTAAATTAGGAGAGGATTTTATGTATATAAGGGCAACCAATAAGCAACTTTCTCTATTAATGTGACATAAATCCAGATGCTGCAGATCATTACAGATCAGTGATATATTCTTGTGTGAGCAGCTGTGTTTAAAAGTTGAATGGGTTATTGATATCAGAAAGTGCAAAGCTCAGATTTTGGTGACCGTCCAAAATGATTCTTTTTTATACATCCTATAATGTATGTTACTGTACAAAACTCTGTACTGTTCTAATTAAATTCTTAGTCTAAGCAAAATACTCTCTTAAACAGTATGACAGTGAGGTATCCAAACAGGAGCTGGTGTATTATAGTGAATTTCATGTTCCCTTTTCTTCCTAAACCAGACATGAATTTTTATTTAGAGGGGTGGAAAGCTACAATAGCAGCCCAGTGGTATTGTTAGCATTAGTGCAGTCCTTAAACGTGAATAAAAGAAAAATAGGGCAGAGGATCTGTGTTTTCTCAAAGAGGGGCTGTGAATGAATGGTGTGATGCATTCGGAGAACAAAAAACTCTGCATAGCTTTTAGTTCTTAACTCTGTGTCTGAAATGCCAAAAAAGGAATACTAGAGCACAAAGACAGACAACGGTGTACATCTCAGTCATGCATTTATTTCCTTTTCCTGTTTTCTGTCAGACTAAGCTATGCAGCAAAGAACAGCACTCTGTGACTGGGATGCCTGCAGTTACCTGTTACATATATCTGCAGTTACAATTTGGGAAGTAATGTAATTGTGTTCAAAGTAGCTCTGAAGTTTCTCAGTAAGGTTGTCTGCAGATTTATAAAGGAGTTACAGATCCTATCAATTTTGGAACTCTGACTCCAATAGATGTACATGTCTCCTTTTTAATTTATGTTGGAAATGCTTGGGTAGTCTTTTCTTGCATGGAGACAGCCAGTTCCAATAGCTGCTTGGATAAGTTCATCAGCAGTAAATACTGCTTCTGTTTGAAACTGTGATACTATTTCATAAAATGCAGTAAAGCACAAGCTTTTTCCCTTAATATCTGCTGGCAACAAAATTTAGCAAAAAAAAAAAACCGTGCATGAACAAATGTGCTGAGATTTCCAACAGAAATTTGTAACAGAAGTATTCTTTAGAAAGTAAACCCAGAACTCACCACTGAATTTGTATAAAATACCCACAGAACTGCCAAACAGATTTATCTTTGTAGAATCATAGGGTCCCAGACTGGTCCTGCTTGTATGACCTTAAGATCATCCAGTTCCAACCCCCGCCATGGGCAGGTATACCTCACACTAAACCATGTTGCCCAAGGCTCTGTCCAGCCTGGCCTTGAACACCGCCAGGGAAGGAGCATTCACCAGTGCCAGCACCTCAGCACCCTCACAGGGAAGAGCTTCTGCCTTAGATCTAACCTGAACTTCCCCTGTTTCAGTTTGAACCCATCACCCCTTGTCCTATCACTACAGACCCTGATGAAGAGTCCCTCTCCAGCATCCCTGTAGCCCCCTTCAGGCACTGGGAGCTGCTCTGATGTCTCCACGCAGCTTCTCCTCTCCAGGCGGAACAGCACCAACTTTCCCAGCCTGTCTACATAAAACTTCAGGAGTTGTGGCCCTTCAGCAGTATTCCAGCCTTAATTCCAGTGACCAAAATCCCTTTGATTTAAATGGGGCTTCTTATGTGTTGAAAGCTTGAATATGTGACCATGACATTTGGATTACAGTGACCTAAATGTGTGGCACATGTGCAACTTCTCCTATCTTTAGTTGTTAATGAGATGTTGTAGATTGCATTGATTAAAAATAAATGGATGTATAAAGTAATGATCATGGAGTGGTAACATGTAACTATTTTGATGCTAATATGCTAGGTGCCATTATGAAGGAAAAATGCTGTTTCACATGGTTTGCTATAGTTTTATGACACTGATGAGTAGTCTGGTTCTGTTTGTTTTTTAGATCTTTATTTAATACACTGGCCTGATGCACAAGTTCCTGGTAAAAGCAATCGAGAGGTCCGAGCTGAAACCTGGAGAGCAATGGAGGAGCTCTATGAGAAAGGTAATATAATAGTGAAAACCTATTTTAGCAGAAGGAATCACAGCACATTTTGGAATTCATAGAATTGGGGAATTCATAGTGACAGATGTTAATGTAATTTGAACTGGAGGTTCGTATTTCAGTTGAGTTGGGGGTGCAAATTATGTAGATCTTTTTGGTAAGTTGAATATGTTTGTATTGCTTGTAAATAATGCATTGCTAAATTCTGCCCATGATGGTGTACACCCTTTCTTGAGGAAATGCACAGACAACACTGAAACATAGAACAACTTTGTAGCAGCCTGCTCTGTTTTAAGTATAAATCATGCTAAATTTTACTTCCTTCAGATTTTTTTTTCTTAACTGTATGATGCTGTTTTCCAGTTTGCCGCATATTGTGGTACACATATGTGTTTTAGAAAAAGTCAACAAAACAAAATGGCTATAAGAGAAATAAATACTCAACCGAGTATTCTTAGTACTATCTTTTTTTGGGAAAAAAGGAAATGAAAGAAGGGAGGTATTCTCTCAAGTTCTGGTAATGGTCCGTTTGATTTTTGGTGCACTGCAAAATTCATAAAATAGAGTCATAGAATCATGGAACGGTTTGAGTTGGAAAAGACTTCAATGTCATCCAGTTCCAACTCCCACCATGGGCAGGGACGCCTCACACTAAACCATGTTGCCCAAGGCTCTTTCATACCTGGCCTTGAACACTGCCAGGGATGAAGCATTTAACACTTCTCTGGGCGCCCTGTCCCAGGGCCTCAGCACCCTCACAGGGAAGAACTTCTTCCGTAGATCTAACCTGAACTTCCCCTGTTTCAGTTTGAACCCATCACCCCCTGTCCTATTGCTACAGTCCCTGATGCAGAGTCCCTCTCCAGCATCCTTGTAGCCCCCTTCAGACACTGGAAACTGCACTGAGGTCTCCACACAGCTTCTCTTCTCCAGGCTGAACAGCCCCAATGTTCTCAGTTTATTATTTTCAGTTTATGTTTGTAGCAATAAGAAGAATAGACTGCCCCAATCAAAATTCATCATGTAGATTTAAGAGGAGAATTTACTCATGAACTATGCACTAGTATTAGAAATAGCTTTGTAAAAGAAGATCCTGTGATGCAGTGCTTGGACAAAGTGCACCTCCCTCTTTATAACTTCCTTCCCTAGGCAGGGAGAAGATTTCTTGGCTTAAGTAGTGTATGCATGAACCCAGAGTTACTGAAACAGTGATTATAGCAGGAGAGTTGTACAAAGGCAATTACAGGTTGTGTGGCACTGCCAGTTTTATCAGAGCACTAAACAAACCTGTTCTCTACGCTTCAAGCCTTCCGTTCCTTTTGGTCTGCCTCTGGAAACACAGAAGTAAATGATTTTTTGATACATCTGTTATTCTTGCTTTTTATATTAAGCATAAGGGAAGTTGCAAAAAGTGTTTCTGCCTGTGTAAGGGATTACAACATTCAGTCTTTAAAGAAACACTACACCAACCTCATATTTCAAAGCATCAGTGACTTCTAATTCCAAGAACGGATTATTCGACAAGGTGCTTAATCCTGCCATTGAGATGTGTTTTATGATGAGTATTTAAGTTAGTGCATGTCATTTGTGTCTAGATTCTAATTTGCTGGAAACAGATTGTGTTTTCACCTCCTATTATTACTTCTATCGCCTTTATTCTGCTTTTTCATGTGTGTTTGTGATCTTCTGCATCTTACACAACTTTATATATATCTTCCTAATGAGAAAGGCTGAGCTATTCAGTGTTCTTCCAGTGTGACACTGGAGATACTATTGCTGGCCTCACAGGCAGACAAAAAATTCCTTTTATTTTTTATTCCTATACGTGACACCACCTTACAGACATCCCAGGTTATAGTTATTTTTCCTGCAATTGCATTTCTTCAGTGACTTTGTCAGTTTGCATGTCGCTACCCTCAGTCTTTTTCTCAGTGTAAGCATTCTGTAGGTTTCTGATTAATTTAGCTGAGCCTAAGTTTTCCAGCTCTGGTTGTCTAAATTACCTGTTAGATCATCTCCAGGGGAAGAAAAATGTATTAGTCTGGTTGAATCAAGTACCTTAGAACATTAACCTTCACAGTTTTGTATTAGGAGATACAGACTCTGGATGTGCTGAGGAAAAGAGGGAGAAAAAACAATCTTCATGTTGGTCAGTGAGACATTTGTATATAATAACTGGTTCGTTCTCTTGTAACAGCTGAAGTCAACTAGGATTCTTGTAATATCAAGGCTATGGTTGGAAGTTTTGTGGTCTCATATGTTACCATTTTGTGAAATTATCCCCTCCAATACCTCAAGACAGAGGCCAGACTGCCTACAGAACCCCTTCCAAGATACATACATTGAGTCATATATTCCCTTGACAGCTGCAACATTCCAGTATAGGCATTTGTGTGCTGGCAGATGAAAGCAGTGTGGCAAGCTGCTTTGACATCATGAATAGTCATTATATATGCGCCTGGTAATTGGTCTGTTCCTAGCAAAATGATCCTTTCCATATGCAGCATCTTAAATGACCTTGATTTTGGCATTGTGGCTAGCCCATCATCTCGGCAAGCTTTCCATACACACACATGCACATGATTACTTGTCCTTCTATCTCAAAATGCTGGGAAGAATGAGGGCCTTCAGCCAATTTTTGCTTGCAGTTGGCAAGAGTGGCAAAATGGTGGTAGTTCTGGGTTCAGATCCCACTGGGGCTCAGGACTATTATACAAAGGGTAGAATATCTTGCTTATCTTTTTAGTGTAAGCAGTGCAGTTTATGCTTACATGGAACAGTGATACTTGTGTCAGAAATTCCTTAATGTCTTCACATTAAGGATGTTGTTAAACAGAGAAAATGCTCTTCAAAATAAATACAATTATTCTATTAATATGTTAGTTTAATAGTCTTTTTGTATGATTTGATCAGACCCATAAGGTAGCAGAAATTCTTTAGCCTAGTAATTGAAGCTATGTCACCATGTTCTTGGAAAAAAAGTTATGGTTTTCCTAATTCCAAATGAGAGAAGCAATCTAATCAACCTTTACAATATTCTTATCCTTTTCATCTTTGGGCATAGATCAGTTCACTCATCATCTTTTCTTCCTCCTTTTTCTGTCAGTTCTTAAAAGTATGAGTGAGGGTTCAGGAAGCCAAATACATCTTTTGAGTAGGTGGCACAGATTTGTAGTACATCCATTCTGGATGACACATTCTGCTTTTATTCTGCTGAAAAAATACTTCAAATCTATGCTCATATTGTCAAATGATTAACACAAACATTAGTGTTACAGTTGCACAAAATGTCTTCTGAGGCTTTAGGCTGGTAGAAGTCCAGCCTATGTCCTATGTGAATGTGTGTTCATATGAAGTTTTAATAAGTAAAAGCAAGTAACTAATTTTCCTAGCAACACAAGTCTCTTTTTCACATTGCCTGTAGTAGTCTCTTGGGCCTCTTATGAGCAGAAACACAGTTCAGAGATGTTTTCATGGGCTGAAGGTATTGCAGTTGGTGAGGATGTTGGTTGCACCACACCCTGTTGGTCAGATCAGACAGCGATTAAGATGCATGCAGGAAAAAAAATGTTACACATCTCTAAGTTAACGATCATAAAGAAGTCTTCATAATGTTCAGTGTCTTATTTAAGAATAAGAAATTGCCATGCACTAAGTCATTTTGGTGCAGACATAAAAAGGGGAACAGATCTAAGCTTGTATTAACCTCATTTGTTGTTTTGCTCTTTCTTTTTCTCTTAATTTTAAGGACTTTACAGGTAACTCTAAGTGCAAAAGTAAGCCCTCAGACTTCTTTGTTTTGTGATTTATTACAGTGTGTTGTTTGTGCTTTTTCTACTAGCAATTGAATCCTTTTTGTCAAAAATGTAGATAAATCTTTTTGCTTAGCTTACTTAAAGCAAATGATTGTGTAAGCACACAGAAGTGCCTAGAGGTCCTGATATGAGCACAAGAACTCTTGGGAAGAAGGGAATGTTGAAATACATTTCAAAGGAAAGTCCCTGTCCCAAATGACTCTTGGTTTCAATAAATAATGTACATAATTTGGGCTAAAAGCATCATTTATCTGTTTTGTATATGTTGAATTTAAGCCCTAGCTGCTCAGCTATTGTAAAGCAGTATCGCTTATTGACATCAGGCAGGTTGCTGTTCCTCATTATCAGTTGGGAGTCATCATCCTCCCTGATACAGAAGTCAAAATGCACCCTAGTTCAGAAGACCATGCCTCCTCTCTTGTGGTCCTCACAGTTCATCATGGTTCATAGGTGGTCTCTAGCAGGAGTAATGATCATGGAATTGTGATAGCAGGAAAGTAATTTTAGGGCAGATGAGCTCCTATACTGTGGTAATGAATAGGAGAAAAAGAAATCCTTTGGGGACAGACGCATGGTATTTTGTGTTTTGTGTGTTTTCAGTTTTGCCACAGGCTTCCTGTGTCTCTTAGTAAGGACACTTTACCTTTTGGTATCAATGTTTTTCAGTCTGTGACAAGGGAGCAAGTGTTATTTCATAGCTTTAGAACTTAATTCCTTATTGGTTCTGTCTAAGAGCTGCTTTATTTTATCAAGGCTTTGGCTTGCAGTCTGCGTGTGGGGCACACTCAGCCTATAGCTTTAATTTAGCAAGCTGTGAGGAAATCAGATCTTTATAATTTCTCTGAGTAATGCCGCTTACCCATGGAGACAATTTTAGTGTATCAGAGAATATGGACTTTACCAACCTGTATAACCTCCTTGAATAAAGACACAGTTACTACAGTTGACCTCTTGTGAGAGGTGGATCCATTTGTGTTTTTATTCTGTGGCCTGAATAGAAGATCTCACAGAATAGGCACTGTTCGCTGGACGTGGGAATTCTCCCTTGCTCTGACTCATGTAGAGCATTGGGGAGGGGGAGGAAAATGGGCTCCACAAACCCAGTATCCAATTTTGTCATTGTAAAAGAACCCCTTTTTGATCTGAACTTTGTCCATTTAATATTCCAGAGGGTATTTAGAAGTTTGATAAAAGTCCACAGTAGTGCTAGAGAAAGATAAGGCTCGCTATTGTACTAAAACAATGTTGTGGTGCCAAGACAGTACATTTATGCTTTTTTGTTTCTGCAAGACCAGCCAGTGCCCATCAAACTTGCACAATTTGATATTATTCTAAGTAAAGGAAAAATGCCCAATCATTCTCCAGCTTGCCATAAAAATGCTTTAAGCTGAGTACACAGCTGTATTACAAACCAGTCCCTTAGCATGATGTGTTGCTTCACAGCAGCTGGGAATAATACAGTGTGGTGAAATTACCATCGTGGCAGAGGCCAAGATTTTTATGTGTAGAATAGAAAAGATGCTATTTCCCCCCACACACACACTATAATCAACCATTCTTCTGCCAACATGTTTTCAGATGTGTCTTGCAGAGCTTCATGATAGCTTGTCAAATCTGGATGAAAATTTCCATTCCACCATTGTGGTCAGTCAGTTTTTAGCATGCATAACACAAGCATCGTTGCCAGCTTTTGCTCCAGGCATGCAAAGGCAGAGTTGCAAGGAGGAAGACAAAGCCTCAATAAGCTTTGGGAGCTACTGGGGAACTGCAACATCTTTGTCTCAAAATCTGCTTCACAGGGGCCAAACCACTCATTTCCTCAAGAAGATAAGGAGGATGCTTTCTCTCCTTGGGTTGAAGCTCTGTGACTTTTAAGATGAAACAGTACAAATGTATATTTTAAGTGTACTTTCTCCAGACTTGCAGCTAGCACATTGCAAACTTAGCTCAGAAAACGTGAACTTCAGGACTAGTTAAACTGGTTAAGTTAAAAAGAATTGTAGACTTAAACCACCTGCTAGCGCAGCATGGCTTGTGCCTGAATTGTATGAAATGGGGCTTTTAAGCACACTGCACAGGTATTAAATTGGAAGTGGGGGTGTTCTTCCCTCCTTTTCAAGAGCATTCTGCTGGTTTTGAGATGTGTTGTGCAAACTCTGAGGACCCTGCCTCTGTCAGAGCTCCACAAGAGAGACAATGTAAGGCAGTGTGCATCTCCCCTCTCCCCTGAGTGGTTTCTGTCAGACCAGAAGCTACCTAGACCTTCATTTTCTTATCCATAATTTTCTAATTCGTCACTTTTAGGAATTAATCTATCAGATGTAAATGTGGGAATAATTCCCTATAATCTCTTGCTTTAAGGCAGACTTCTCAGATTTAGTCATGAAGAGCATCCAGCAAATGAAAGCAGTTCTCTCAAGTAGAATCCATTGTTGTTCATTGCAATTTCAGCTCTATTTTTCAGGAAATTCCAGTGTTTTGAATTCATGAATTGAATGCATTGAAGTAAAATTTTTTAAATACAGTCAGGCTGTGCAATTGTTTTCATATTTATTGTATTGTATTGTAACTGAATACCAAAGTCAAAACACTAACTTTCATCTGTTATACTATAACTAAAAAAGAAAGCAGTGGAGTTAAATTGAAGAGTTCTAACTTGAACAAAATGAAATATGTGGATTTAATGAAAATGGAATGTTTTAAATGTATTCCCTCAGCTTTCTTTGTGTGACATCACTCTAAACAAAGGAATGCCCAGAGTACTGATTTTAGTAGGAGCTACTTGGATGACTTTTAATACAAAACATAACTGACCTGAAATTTGGTGGGAAATCAAATGAAAAACTTCTTATCAGTGAACGCAGTGTGACTGTGGAAGAGACTTCCAAATCTCCTGTGAGAAGTATGCTAGAAGCAAAACATCTTAGAGTGTACTGTAAGGGAAAAAAAAAAAGGAAACTTTCTGTGAAAACGAACAAGTTTCATAAGCCCTTTTATATTTCATGTCTGTGATTTGAGTTTTGTTTTATTTCAGCAGGAAATAAAAGCTTTATTCTTCCAGGGCAGTAACAGCATGGGGTTTGTAAGTGCTTAGCTTTCAACAATGGAGTACAATATTTTGGTTCACCATTGTGTTAAAACTGCAAGTGTTTTTCTGACTTCTTTGGCATAAATGATTTATTAGTGTTGACACTCTGGGGTTGTAAGTAGAAGGCAAAAGCTGAGGTTTTGCTCCTTCTGGCAGATTACACACAAATTATGCAAATCGCTGTAGTGCAGGTTATAACCTAATTATGTTCTACATCTTGAACAATGATCGTTTCTGTAAGGGAAAGCTGTCTAGCATTTGAGTTGCTAATGTATTTTTTTATCCTTTTGTATTCTACCAAAGAAACCATGTTGAAAAGTGATAGTGTGTGTGCAGATTTTGCTGCTGTGCAGCTTATCTGCTTCTGTTTCTAAAATATGTGAAAGCAACCTCACAGTCACATTGCCAGTATTTCTGTGGTTAGTGCCTTTTCTGGTGCAAAGCTTGATTTATTTATTTTTTAATAGAAACCTAGACTGGTTTGAGTTGGAAACGACCTTAAGATCATCTAGTTCCAGCCCCCTGCCATGGGAGGGACATCTCACACTAGAGCAGGTTACTCCAAGCCCCTGTGTCCAACCTGGCCTTAAACACTGCCAGGGATGGGACAGCCACAGCTTCTCTGGGCACCCTGTGCCAGTGCCTCAGCACCCTCACAGGGAAGAGCTTCTGCCTTATCTCCAGCCTGAACTTTCCTGTTTCAGTTTGAACCCATCACCCCTTGTTCTATCACTGCAGTCCCTGATGCAGAGTCCCTCTCCAGCATCCTTGTAGCCCCCTTCAGATGCTGGAAGCTGCTCTGAGGTCTCCACGCAGCTTCTCTTCTCCAGGCTGAACAGCCCCCGTGTTCTCAGCCTCCTGTCAATACTTAGCAATATACTGTAACTTCCCTCCCAGAATTTCATGGAAGACTGGAAGAATTTAATGTCTTTGTTTTGTCCAGGTAAGTCTAACCTGAAATTCAAGATACTTTCTAATCTTATAGCTCAGTTCTTTATATGCAAATTTATAGTCTGCTTGGGAATTATTTTTTTTTAATGCATAAACCATATGTATTGTAGGAATGAGTACATGGTTAGTGCATTTTACTCCAACATTTTCCTTAGCTTTTGTTTCAGTTGAGGTTCTTCCCTTTAATGTATTCATGTGTCTCAGTTGCATTAATAAGTCCTTTTTATTATGGACTATTTATGGACTCAAATCGAGGCAGCTCCACAGAGTTCCCAACTGACCTCAGGAAAGTGGTGATTCTAACTGTGGAATGAGGGCAGTTTCAGTCCAGAAATCATTCCTCTGACATCAAATGGCTGAAACTGCCCAATGGGGCTTTTTTTTTTTTCCTCTCTGAAAAAAAACCAACATTATAACCTTTGGCTTAATTCCTTTGTTTTTTTGCTATAGATATTTGTGTGCATGTATATAGATGAGCATATGCATATACATCATATTGAATTGGCTGGCACAACTACTGGATTAACAGTGAGACAGACTTTCCATTTGCAGTTACGCATTGAAATACACATCAATCAAGACAGAGTTCATATACTGAAGAAATGAGTCTGACTCATTGTCCACAGCATCCACAGCCTAAGAAGACCCCCGCTAGCCTGACCACAGTTGATTTCCCTACTCGAGTGTTTAGCACAAAGAAGGATCAAACTCCCAAAGCTGAGTCAAGGTTGAGGTGTGGTGGCAGGCCAGTCCTGGGAGTTTTGCTTTCTTGTATCTGAGGTTTGAAGGGAGACATCCGATTTCAGGACTGTCAGTACTTGATTTATACACATGTGTGCACACTTATGGCTTATTGTAAAAAAATAACCTTCCTATCGCCTATGTGCTTTTCAACTTTATTTGCATGTCAAGAGGAGCTGAGGAACCTAGCTGCATTTTTAAGCTTTTTTGATCTTGTTTGATACTTCTCACTCAAACTCAGTATAAAAACTTCAATTTACGTGGCATCTCACAATGATCTAATAGAAATAAAAGCAGTGCTACATGGTTTATTTGGGCTGCATGTCCTTGGGTTGTATTGCTCACACCTTATTAGTCTTCAGCAAATGTTCCACTTTAGTTTTGGCAGGTCGCTCAGAACACCATTTCCTTCTTTTCATTCTGGTGGAGTCCAATTGTTCTCTGCTTACACTACACTAGCCTTTCCCAGAATTTAGCCTGGAGTTTTTATACACTGGGGAGTTCCCAGTATGTTTAGATTACAGAATAATTTCCTAGTATGACTGTGAGGGAACCATGCTTTCAGATAACACTGTCAAACTACATTTCGGTGGTGGCAGTCTGAATTTCTTTGCAGTGTTTTGCAGTACAGACATGATGTATACAGTCATTTTGTCTCTTGAAAGTGATGTTTTTTCAGCTCGTGCTCCCAACTAGTTAGGATTGTCCCAAAACCTTTTTATTGTTCTGTTTCTCAATAGGTTTGTGTAGATCAATTGGTGTAAGCAACTTTCTTATCAGTCATCTTGAGCAACTAAAGGAAGACTGTGTGATTACTCCACATGTTAATCAGGTGAGTGGTTAAATATACGTCAAGTATTTGCGTTTTGGGGTTTTGTTTTGGCTTTTTTGGTTAATCATCCCACCCCCATGCCTATGCCTGAAAGACTACACAGAAACTAGTCTTAGTCATACAATTTCTTCGCTTTCTTTTCTATATGCATATTGAAAACCATTTAGGAACATGACCGGAAGGAGGGGCAGGAGGGGGAAGTCCTTCTTCCTTTCTTTTCCCCAGTTTCTCCCCGGCTACTTGGATGTGGTTGGTTTTAAGGCACAAACAAATGGTCTGTGTGCCAGTTTTTGATGATAAAACAGTTTAGAAACGCAATTCAAGGGACACTGAACACTTAGCATCTCCAAAGTGAACAAAGTTTTGGAGAGCCTGTGTTCAAATACTTTCTATAATTCCTCTAAACAGCAGGGAAAGCCTCAGGTGATTACATATCCATGCTAGGGTGCTGTTTCCCCTTCTTTCCCCTTATTTCATAGTCATATTTCAAGATCAAGATTTTAAATTCAGTGAACTCCTCACTGAGGTACTGCAAGAGCCCTGGTAAATGTTTTTGCTGCCCTAGGCAGATAAAAAATGCTACCTCCGTACCAACAGACTTCAAGGATACTGCTAACTCTTCCCTTCAGTTTTCTGTCCACAGCTGTGCTGGAAGTTCATGCTCCCTTTCCTAGCACCTCCTGCTAGTGAAAGCATAGTTAATGCTAACCCGGAACTGGGAACTGGAATGGCTACTTTTGCCCCTTGTACACATGGTGAGGATTTCTGGCAGCTGTTTATCGGGAATGACATCAACAGCCACAAAAAACTTGCTCAGAGGCTGTTGGAACCTAGTATCTCTGATGCTTGCTGTCCACTAACAGTTACAAAAAGACAATTACGAGTACTGATAAGTTAATGTAAACCCATATAAAATAGTTAATTATTTAAAAGAAGCCATTGAAATGAACAGGTTGATGACCTCAGAGCAGCTTCCAGAGTCTGAAGGGGGCCACAAGAATGCTGGGGAGGGATTCTTCATCAGTGTGAGGTGTCCCTGCCCATGGCAGAGGTTGGAACTGGATGAGCTTTAAGGTCCTTTCCAACCCAAACCAGTCTGGGATTGTATGATTTCTGTGACTGTTTAAGAATTGATGAGTTTGCCAAGGTTCAGTTGGATCTCCTTTTCAGAATTAGACATCTTCAAAGCCTCACAGAGTCTGACATAACTTGTTCCTGTGTATTGAATGAGAAAGCCTTTTGGTGTCCAATTAAACCACTGCAAGTAAAAGAAATGTAATCTTGGATTTGTTTTGAAATTTCCTCTTACCCACAGTGTCAAAATGTCACCAGTCTTACTGTGCTGGTGCTGTTCAGGGAGAACAGTTGTTTCTTATAGCTACTTGATAGCATCTCTTTTTCTGTGGCTGAAAAAGAAGAAACCAAAATTCCTAACCACAGCAATACAGGGGGCTGGGAGGGTGCTCCTGCTGTCTTCAGACAGTTGTTTCTTTAAGGTGATGTAGAGCACTGTTCCAAATTCAAACCAAGCCAACAACAATGAAATTATATGCAAAGTGCTGTACTATGAGCAGACTTGTTACAGCATTAGCTTACACTTTTTCAAGTTACAGGAATCTTATAAACCATCATTCAGGTTATCCTCAAAAGAGTATTTACTGTGTTTTTTGCCTAGTGTGGAGGGCTGCTGAGTCTGTTGGTGAGAATCCTTACGGATTAGCAAATAACTAACAAATGCCTAAATTTAACTTGGGAATAAAAGTGCTATACTGAATCCTTATTTCACTGTCTGGAATTTATAATACAAAAGATCTTTGCTATATTTATGCCTAAACCAGCATACTGTTTCAGTGAACTTATTTCTAAATACAAACCATTTGCAAATAATAATTGCATACAAATTCTAAATATTTAAGGAACAAGTGGAGGAAAATCATTTCTCTCTTAGCTGTGTTAAAGTTGGATAGGGAATTCAGGATGTTCTTACAATCCGAACAGTTGGTATGATGTTAAAATTGGGAGGTTTTTCTGTGAAGAGGAGGAAGCAGGAAGGCAGGAGAAGGGAGGATCTTTATTAGACTTCAGGAGTCTCTGCAAACCACGTAGGGAGCAACGCTTCTGTTTGAGAAACCAGGTTGTATGTGCTGCCTCCCTTCTCTGGAAATAAAACCTCAGTGTTCACATGGATTTTAAAGCAGTAGGAAAGACCTTTCTTTTCAAGAATATAGTATTTGTGAATGTATTTAGTAGTAAGTAAGCATCTTTTAACATCACGGGCCACTATTAAAAATACTGCTAAAGGCTGTGTAAAAATGATGAAAACTATTTTATTCTAGCATCGTGTAGAATGAAACCAATATCATAGAAGTTAGAGGTTTGTATTCCAGAGTTTGTCATTGTCATGGCAGTAGTAAGTTTGGATTTATGCTTAAGGAAGGCTTTGAAGTCTCTTTGAAGGCTCTTATGCCTGTTTCATAGAGGAAAAAATACATTATATAAGCATTTAATTAATATCTATATTTCATTTAATAAAGTGACACACTGAAACCAAACTGTTCTTCTCCGAATTCTGTGTGTTTCTACTTTTATAGAAATGCACATTACTGTTTAAGGACATCTAAGTGATTTAGTAATTTTGTTAGTATTACCATAAATATTGAGCTTTATTATGTAAATTTGTACAAGGTAGAAATGTATTTCAGTATTTTGAGGCATTAGGAAACAACCCCTTAGTACATAAGCCCACCTGAGCTGTTCCTCTCTGGTGCATCTAGGCTTATATTTTACTTTTATGAAGAGAAATCATTGTAAGGCTGCATTCCCATTGATAAACTGACTGAAGTCCAGATGATGGGGAGCTATACCAGGTGAAAAGAACCCACAGCAGGATAGGAAGAGTAAGGATTTGGTGGACCACCTTCCAAGGTATGCCTTTCTAGTTTGATGTATCAGGACTGTTATTCAGCTCAGCTTTTCCCCATTGTGCATGATAGTGATAAAAGACAGTGCTTGGAGTTCTCCTCTGGCTGCTATAGTAGCAGCTATAAAGAGGTCTGTGATGTGAACTGCAAACTGTTTCATTAAGGAAATGCCAGTTTTTATGCACAGATCACTCAGGGTAGAGTGCCAGAAAATACCAAGATCTTCCTCTACCACCATATGGATCATAGAATCCCAGACCAGTCTGTGCTGAAGGAAGCTTGAAATTCATCCAGTTCCAATGCCCTGCCATGGGCAAGGACACCTTCCACTAGAGCAGGGTGCTCCAAGCCCCTGTGTCCAACCTGGCCTTGAACACTGCCAGGTATGGGGCAGCCACAGCTTCTCTGAGCACCCTGTGCCAGCGCCTCAGCACCCTCACAGGGAAGAGCTTCTGCCTAAGAGCTCATCTCAGTCTCCCCTGTTCTGGCAGGTTAAAGCCATTCCCCTTGTCCTCTCCCTACAGGCCCTTGTCCAAAGCCCCTCTCCAGGTTTTCTGGAGCCCCTTTAGGCACTGGAGCTGCTCTGAGGTCTCCCCTTCAGGAGCCTTCTCTTCTCCAGGCTGACCCAGCCCAGCTCTCTCAGCCTGGCTCCAGAGCAGAGCTGCTCCAGCCCTCACAGCATCTCCATGGCCTCCCTTGAACTCACTCCAGCAGCTCCACATCCCTCTTGTGCTGTTGCCCCAGAGCTGGGTCAGGACTGCAGGGGGGATCTTCCCAGAGCACAGCAGAGGGGCAGGATCCCCTCCCTGAGCTGCTGCTTACGCTGTGGGGGTGCACCCAGCGCACGGGGGGGGTTCTGGGCTCAAGTGCACACTGAAGCCAGGTCATGTGGAGCTTCTCCTTACCCAGCACCTGCGAGCTCTTCTCCTTGGGCTGCTTCATCCATATGACATACAGCCCTTGCCTGGGAAAACTTTGGTGACTAAAATAGCAAGGGTGGGGCAAGCCAGGAAGCAGGGGTTATTATTTTGAGGGGTAGCACATGCTGGCCATTGGCCTTATCTATGCCTCTCCTAGCCCAGGGTACTAGTCCCTTGCATTCAGATGCTGCCTTCCAGACAGTTTTCACTAGAAAAATAATTCCAGAAGTGCTTTTTTTTTTTTTTTTCAATTTGATGCATTTGATTGTTTTAGAGATCTAGTTAAGAAGAAAAATCCTGGCTGCTACCAACACACAACCAAAAAACGAGTCCAAAAACTTTGGGAGTCTCTTGGTTTAGTGAAAAGCATGAAGTGATGTGTGATTCTGCTTGGAAAGCAGGAAGGTGACATGTCAGCATGCTGTTCTTGCTTTAAATACTTCAGGTGTAACTTTGAACTGTGCTGCCTGCGAATCTTACTAGACCAGCAGGTAAATTCTGCTTGCAGTCATATAAGCAATAAATGCTGAATAAGTCGCCTGATGCCATAAGGGGTACTGCAGATTTTTCAGCATTTGATCTTAAATTCATCATTCTTTACTTAGTATTTTCTAGGCTGTTATTTGTTACACCTAGTGCAAAGAACATCTACTAACATTGTTGATTACTGTTGTAATAATGGAGTAATACACCCTGCTTGCTCTTTCCTCCCCTCCATAGTCTTGCATAAATGCAATGAGAATAGTTTCTAGTCAGCTCAGGTGCAAATAACTGCATGATCTTAACACTGGCCTTACACATCTCAACATGAAATACAAAGGCTACTCAAAGGTCAAGAAACATCAAAGGGTGAAGACATGGATGTCTGCTGCTTGAACCTTGTTCCCCAATCCACCTAGTAATTTAGATCAGAGCAGCTTTAGGCTGACTCAGCCCAGCCTTCCAGGGGCACGTTTTTTTCTTAGCGCATGTTGAATGACTGCCAGCCTATTGTTCCTGACTATTGTTGTCTGAAAAGACAACATGTCCTAAAGATGAGAAACAGGAAATGTTCATTTGTCCTCTTTGTGGCACAAGGCATTTTCCAGATTCCATGTGCTGAGGTAATTTTTCAGAAGAGGATTTTCCTTCAGAATGCGCAAGAGTTGGATCACTGAGACAGTGGTGACACACTCACAAAACTGTATCACATGCTTATATATTTTATAAGAGAAAACACTACGTGTTTTCATCTGACTGCAGAGGAATTGTGCTTCTTACAACACATAAACTGAAATACTTATTTAAATAGCACATTAAGGAATATTTCAGAGGTTCTTTTTGGCTTTTGCTCCATGCCAGAATACATGGCTTTTCTGAGGTCTTTTCCAATAACTTCTGTTTTCTTTTGCTTCCAACAACTATGTCTTTGTAGCTTGTTACTTTTCCTCTTTTTAAGTGGTTCTTGGCAGTTCGTGATCTTCCTTCTCACAAAAGGTCTCCTTCACACTTCATTCCTGCACAGCATGACTGCTTCCCTGCATAAGCTCTTGGTGACAGCGCACACAGAATACAAGATTTTTCCATGTACAGTCCATGCCAACAGGCTTTGCTCCTGAGGTCAGTCCCTTATCACAAGCAAATTGTTCTGGTTGGTCTCTTGCAAACCCAGTCTGTACCCAGCCCCCTCTCCTTGCCTGTGCGATTCAGTGATCATTAGTGAAGAAATAGAAAAGGAAGTCAATCTGGGGACAAGAAGATGGTCTAAAATCACCAATAAAAATGGCCTGATGTTGAATTCCACTATGCATTTGCGTGTATTTCTCAGACACAAAGCAGAACCAGAGTGCAAGACCAACTGCAGGTAGGGCAGACAGATGTTCTGTGCACCCTGTATCTGGTGGAAACATAAAAACACTTAGTAAACTATTGTGCCAGTTAATGGGAAAGTGCTTGTTGACTAATACCCTTCATGTTTCTCCTAAAAGTGGTGACTTACATCTCTCAGAAGCAGTGATTTCACTCATGTTGTGTTTTTAAAACAACAGAAAAAAGATTTTTTACTTATCAGTGACGTTCTCTACTAAATGTACTCTCAAGATCATTACTGAAAATTTGTTTCTATTTATCTAAGGTTGAATACCACCCTTTCCAAAGGCCTCAAGAGCTGGTTGATTATTGTAGGAGCAGAGATATTGTTTTTGAAGGCTACTGTCCTTTAGCCAAAGGTGAAGCACTTACTCATCCTAGTATCATTCAGCTGGCGAAGAAATATGGCAGAACTCCAGCACAGATTTGCATACGCTGGAGTATACAGGTAAGGGAGGGTGGTAATGAAAATGTATCTCTCTCAGGAAGAAAATGCAAATAGTTTGAGATTCAAAACCAGGATTTAGACAGAAAGTCTTTTTTGGCTTTAGTCTGCTGATACTGTGTGAGCTAACTGTGCTGGACTGGAAATGTGGAATGTAGTACAGAAAACATGGCGGATTTTCAATTTGCAAGTAATGTAATTGTAGGGAATAAAAAGAACCACCAACAAAACAGATGGTTTCAAACTAAATGTTACAAGCAGTATGAGGCATCATTCCATTTCTGTCGTTCAACATGAAGTAGTAAGCAGTGAAATAGTGTATTAAATTGACATAAACCACATAATCTGTGTTGGAATTGAATGCATTGTATATAACTGCAATTAAAAATAGCATCCAGAAATGTTAGTGTCCCCTGAGAAATCAAAGTAAAACCTCAGAAGACATGAGGAATGTATTGAAATGTTTGGAAGAGAGATCATTTTCTTTGAAATTATGTATATTTTTATGATGAGCAGCATTATTTGTTTCAGAATGGGATTGTCACTATTCCAAAGTCCACAAAAGCGGAAAGGATAGAGGAAAACTGCAAGGTGAGATTTGGTTATGTGTTCAAGTCTGAGTAACATCCCAGTTACTGCACTTAATACTTCGGTTTGCCTGCCCCTTTTCCTAAACTGGTTTTATAATGGGACAACTCAGTTAAAATTGGCAACTCATAGTACCATAAAATTACTGCGGTGTAGTAGAAACCAGTAATTCATGAATGTCAGAAATTAACTGGAGAGCTAATCACTGTGTAAAAGAGATATCCACAGAAAGACCTGTTCACAGTTGATTTTTTAATCGTCAATATTTATATTACTTATTACCTGGCTGACTGTGAAGCATCCTAATCTCATTTGGGTTAGGTCTTTTTTGTGATAGGCATGTAGGTCAAATGGAAGGAATGTCTATGCTGTGCATAACGCTATGAAAGCTGTAAAACTCTTGGGGACATCTGAAAGAGAGACTTCCTAAGGAAATTCAGTCCTGCCAGAGCTGACTTTTCCTCTCCCTTCTTCCTCGAACTACTCTACTTGAAGGAATGTTTGTAATTCATCACTTGTTTTTTCTCTCCAATTCTCTAAGCTGAAAGTGTGCTTTCTTTGGGGGAGGGGAAACCACAACCACCTTATTGTTACTTCCAAAATTACCACAGGGATATGAACTGTTCAGCAAATCAGGAAGAAACTTTGCAAGAAGATAGGAGGCCTCTGTCTGCTAGTTAAAGCACGCTGCGTGTGTGTGTAGGTGTAAATCAGCATATGTGTAATGAGCTGTTTATATAGCTCCTATTTAACTTGACGTGCACACTGCCTTCTGTGGTACAAGCACAGCTCTTTGTTGTACTGTATTGTGAACCAGAGCAGAGAACAAAACTAGGTGAAAAATCCTTCCATATCCTTTTTATGTTATGTTATGTTACTTTATGTTATTTTATATATTTTTTTCTTTCATTGTTTTATTTTCCCCAGTGATATTTTAAATCCACATTAATTCTATGTTTTACAGCATTTATTCTATGGGCCCACCAACTCATTTCACACAACTGAGGGAGTGCATTGCAGCAGAATTTAAAACACTGAGGATGGAGAGGAGGAAGGGAGAATTATCAAATGCTGCACATCTCCCTTTGTTTGCTTTTTCTTTCCCCCAGGCCAGTGTGTTGGCCTGAGTCTCTACCACCTCTAGTCACATTGGTGAAAGCATGGACCTCGCTAAGCCCCCAGTGCATAATATAGTATGTAGTATTTCTGGTTCTGTGACTGGTCCCTGGTTGGAGTTTAAAAAGCTGGAGCACTGAGGTTTGTCTAGAAGCGTCATTCCAGCAGCCTGTGGTTGCTGGATAATGCAGGATGGGAGGAGCTCATCTGGCAGCAGTTCAGGCTCCACAGGATCTTTTAAGTGAGTATGGAGGAGCTCTGACAAAGGCAACAGACCAACTTAAAGCAGCTTCAGCTCTGAAGCGATAATGTCTGAGTAAGGCACCTGCTAAGAAAACACTGACACCATCATTCATGTTGCAGGTGTCACCACAGGAGAAGTTCAGTGGCTATAAGAACCTGTGCATGAAGAGAGGTGATCGCTTTCATGTTTGAGTTAGTATTGAGATACTATAGCACTGTATCTGCATCTGTATTAGCTAATCCATGAGTGTTTTGTCTATGTACGCGTAGAAAAGATAGATACAGCCTTTGCTTTGCTAGCTTTATGAATGTCCTGATAGCTTTTAGTAATTCTCTTTGGCTCAAGTTCTGAGGAAAACCACTGTAACACTGAACATTGGGATATAAGTGAAATACGGAGCTCAGGCTTCCAGAGGGATCAAATACCTGTGGCAGCAACCATATGGAGTGGTTTGATACTACCATTGTCTTGGACCCTTGCTGAAGGCCAGAGTGCTATAAAACCATCTTAACAGGGTCTACAAATAAAAATCATAGAATCATAGAATAGGGTTGAAAAGGACCTCAAGATCATTGAGTTCCAACCCCCCTGCCCTGGGCAGGGATACCTCTCACTAAACCACATCACCCAAGACTCCATCCAAGGTGGCCTTGAACACTGCCAGGGATGGACTCACAAAAGCAGCAGAGAACCTGTGGAGCCTGTCAGCTTAATGGAATATTTGTCTGTGACAAAATAAAAGAACTTCCAGAAAGAAATAAATAAACCTTGGTCAGGTTAAATAACAGGAGCACTCCTAATTCTCTCTATATTCATGTCACCTGTATATGCACTCCCACAGGTATTTGATTTTACAATAGCAGAAGACGATGTTGAAGTTCTCAATGGACTGCATGATGGGAGACATGTTTCCTGGGACCCAAGCCTGGTTGTGTGAATGAAGGTTGGAGCTTTTTCCTTTGTCAGTGATCAGTGAGTCAGAGCACATAACTTAAATTCAGGGAAGGTTACAATAACAATATAATTGTAAGATGAATAGCTGCTATTAATAATAACTGAATTTTAAATCCTTAACGTTGACAACAGACAAAAAGTATTTTGGGGTGTAGCAATTTTGTACAGAGATCTTGCATGTCCATCTCAAATCCTGACCCAAAGCTTATTGGAGCCCATGCAAAGCCTCAGATTTATGCCACTGACTCTGCATCAGGCCCTTTAATCAAAGAGCTTGAGCAGGTAGCCCTTCTTTAAAACATAAGAAAAAATGCTACCTACTAGCATACAGCCAGGTGTTAAGTGCAAAATAATTTGCCAAGTACCTTGTTAGAGGGCTACAGTGTCTGAAGAAGAAAAAGCTGGGTGAAATGGTTCATACCATTATTATTACTGTATTTATACTATACAATGTACTGCATCTCTCTCAAAAATAGAATCTCATTGTAATAACCAGTATGAGAGCATCAACAAAAAAGGTTTTATGCATATTATTGTGTAATAATGGCCTTGTCCCAGAGAGTTCCATGCATATTATTTACTAGACTGTAGGTACAACAAAGTAGAAGTCTTTCCAGAGAAGTCCATGTACAAATAAGCTATATGCATGGCTAAGAGTTGAGCAGCAAGGTCTAAGAGGCATCTTTGTTATTATTGATCTTCTTCTCTTACCAGCAATTCTGGTGCATTTTGTGTAGCTTTTAGTGAGAGTTAGTTTAGCTTTCATTTGGGGTTTGTCCAGGAAACCTCATTCCTTGCATTTCCTTATAAAATATGTAGGAGAGATAGATATATGTAGTTTACAGATCTGGTTTGAGAAATATGCCTGCAGAGTCTTTTATCAGCTGAGTATTCAACTTCTAGTCACATTGGTTTGATATTTTAGGAGTTCCTGTGTCTAGAAAGGTATGGAAAATCTGACTGTGATTTATATTGTGTGTGGACTTCCTGAGGCAGTTTTCCCACTGCTGTTCTGCTTTAGTCATATCGTGAAACAAAGCTCCTCATTTTTTTATCAAGAAGTGACTTACAGCAGTCATATATTCTGGCCTGCATTCTTTAGCCTTAGAGTGGAACTAAATAAAATCAGCTAAAATACAAACTTACCTTTTTCATAATAGTTCCTCAGAATAGTTGGCTAGTTTTTCCTGGTAAGTAAGTTTTGTCTATATTTGCCTCTGGAATCATTAATATATTACTTATTTAAAACACAAGATCCTGTATGAAATGCTGCACTCATTAATGTCTGACACTATCTTCACAGTAAGGTTATTTCATAGAAGTGTGACTTGCAGCTGGAGGTGCTTTGGTACCTGAGAATGCCACCTGTGGTGTCTAAGACACACTAGTGCAACTTGCTCTAAGCCCGTGTCCAACCTGGCCTTGAACACTGCCAGGGATGGGGCAGCCACAGCTTCTCTGAGCACCCTGTGCCAGTGCCTCAGCACCCTCACTGGAAAGAGCTTCTGCCTTAGATCCAACCTGAACTTCCCCTCGTTCAGTTTAAGTCCATTACCTACCCCTTCTTCTATTGTTACAATCCCTGACAAACAAAGCTTTCCACCAGTGGTCATCAGCTAATCCTCCTTTTGAAAAGTCACTTTATGGAACAATACCTCAGCAAGATCAAAAAGAAGGCTTGTTACTGTGCTGTTTAGGGACTCCTTGCTTCACAGTGTAGCTGAATCGATAAAACAAGGGATAGAAGTAAATCACATGCTAAGTATTCCCTCCGTGTGGCTTTTTGGCAATGAAGACTTCCATAGAAGTTGGAGTTCTACCTCAGGTTTTCTCTAAAGAGACAGACATCACATCAGTGTACTATTTCCAACACAAATAATGCATACGGAAGGAACCAGTTCTTGGTGCATGTTAGCAAATTCTAGCTTCAATATTACAAAACCAATGTCAGTTAGGAGTAGTTACATGACCAGAAGTCCCATGTTGGTCAGAGCACCTCTGGGTTTTCTGTGCTTAATTCTAACTGATCACCTGAGCTAAACAGAATTAAACCAGATTTTCTTGCTGATCCCCCATATAGATGACTTAAGGCTACAGTGAGCATTGCTTCCTAATTTAGTGATAGATTTTCATTGTTGCCTGTGTCAAAGAGTTTCACAATGGGTTTTGTGCCTGCATCTGCTCTTGGTAGGCAGAGCCAGCATGTTCTTAGATCTATATCATGGTATCTAAGCAGCACAAGGAGTAATAAAAAGAATAATCAGATAGAAATAGTATTACTAAAAAAACATTCTTATTAAGGAGCAGTTGTGGCAAGTTACAGTTTTAATCTGATACTTACTAGCTAAGCCCAGACTTATTTGTTGGTTCAAGTCTTTGTTTTGGGGTTGGTGTTTTTTTTTTTTTAGGGTTTTTTTTTTTGGAATTGTTTGTTTGGGTTGGAGTTTTCTGGTTAGGATTCTTTTATTGTTGTTTTTTGGGGTTTGGGGGTTTGGGTTGTGGTTGGTTGGGTTTTTTGTTGGTGGGTCTGGGGGGGGGGGGGTTATGATCTTCCCTTGCAATTCTTTTGCTACCAGGTAGTGGCTATAGAACCATGGAAGAGTTTAATTTTAACTGTGTACTCAGTCAAGAGTAAGTTGAGGCAATAGAAGCTTTTGAAGTGCCAGGACTCAGCTGACCTGTGTGACATCTTTCCCCCGGTGTGACATGAACATTTATTGTGCCATCACTAATAGCTGTAGTTTCCTGCTAGAGGCTATAACTGCCCAAAGAGACTGGAACCATGTTATCTCCTGTGTGCTTGGGATATGTCACTGGAGCCTCTTCCTTTGAATACCTCATTCACAAGTATTAGGCCATGTTAGTTAATTTAGAATCATTGAGCAAATCCTCTTTTGATTGGGTTGCAGAGGCAAAGACACAGTGGATTTGTATCTTATGCTCCTCTCTACAACTAAATTGACATCAGCATTGTCATAGGTGGTTTTCCTTCTAAGCAAAAGATGCTGAAGAACAAGTCCCCATCACCTCATGCAAATGAACATTTCTAAAGTACAGACAACTTTGCTCATAGTATAGGGAAACACAATGGCTAATAAGAAATCAGAAAGTGAACAGCAGTGAGATTTAGGGGTAGCAGTGAGGAGTGATGTTCTGTAGGAGAAGCAGAACCTGGAAGACCAAAGGATTTAAATGTGCTGAACTTACAAAATCAGAAAGTTTAACCCCATTTTTATTTCTTCTTTGGTCAGTTAACCTGGAGGTGCTCATATTGAAAGATTTCTTCTTTTAAATTCAGAATTCATCCTTCCAGTGAGTTTTTGGAATTGTATGGGCTGAAATTCCTCCTCTTTTCCGAATTTCTGTAAGATAACATTTCTCTAGAGGGAAAGCTTTTTTTGCCTTTATTCAATGCCCATTTTTAAGATACAGCAGTGCATCATTTTATCAGCGTGACCCATCATCTTGCCAAAAGGAACAGGGAATGCACCTGAAAATAGAAGCAATTTATCTTCCATCTGATGCAGGCCACTGATGGTAGTGACTGATGGGGGCACTCCTTTCTGGTTGTGATAAATCATTAGTTAAAATAAGATACAATTTTTCAGTGTTACCTGCCTCAGTTTAATCAGGAGCACTGTGGCTCTTAGTGGAAGGGAACTCTTGAAACAAATAAGGAAAGGAAAAGAATAAACTGAAAGTCAGTGGAAAGGGTGAGGCTGTTTTCTGTGCAGCTCTAGCTTCCTGTCTGACTTGGAGTGGCTCCCTCTCCTATTTCTTGCCTGTTTGTGATTCTTTGTCTATTACTCGAGGTGGAGGCACCGAAGAACATTTAATTGGAAAAGAATCAAAATGGTTTTGTAAAGGGCATGCTTTAGGAAACTTTTCCTTAAATCAGGCTGCAGAAGCCTCTTTACTACAGCTATTCCCCACCGTGTATAGGTAAGAAACTAATACCAATAAATGTACAAATCCACCAAACCAAGCAAACTGCACTATGTGCCATTTGCTGAAAACCCTCTGTTCTTGCCCTGTGGTTAACACCAGCTGATTTTCTTTTCAAAAGAGCAGTGCTGAACTGTCTTGACAGGAAAGCTGGTTTTGAAGGAGGGGATAAGGGGGAGTAGCTCTTGCTGACGCTGAGTTCAAGCAGTTCACACTTTCCATGCTGCCACACCCCTTCCAAAGCTTTGAAGCTCGTCTCTGCCTTGAGTGCCTTGGGTAGAAATAACAGAGAAGCCAACCTTCTGGCCATTTTTTGTGTTGCTGTGCTGCGTCTTTTTCTTTACCTCATCTTTTTGCAGCCTCCACATGTCTGCTCTTGTGAAAGAAATTGTGGAGGATTTGCACTGCCTTACAGTGACCATAGCTTCCATTTTTTATCTAAATGATTACTATTTGTCTTTATGAATGGCTGCTTTGATGTGTTTGCAGCGTCACCCAGGACTAAGTGCAACTGCCAGGGCATTATAAAATTGTAGTGACTTTGAAGGGACCAGAGCATGGGAACTACCTCCAAATCCTGCCACTACCCACTGGGGGAGAAGAAGAGCACAAACCCTGAAATGAATTTAAATCAATGATGCTGATGCTACTTCCCAGTGATAGGACACGTGTCACTCCATAAACTACTGCAGGCATGGGCAACATTATGGGATGTGCTTCTGTAAGCAACTTTGCATAGATCTATCACACCAGATCTCAGTCACTGTGCCAGAGATGAGTATTTATGATATTAGTAGTGGCTTTGCTAGCCAGTGCCCTTTGAGAAACATTCTGTAGCTGAACTACTCATACGAAAATCAAGAGTGCATCAACAGCATTATCATCGTATTAATGGCTGCTCTTTTTTCTCTCCAGCAAAATAGATTTCCAGGACTTTCTAGATGAGGCATCAAAATTCCAGGATATAGAACTAGTGTTAGGTTCCTAACTTGGCTGTGAAATTTGGAGGCAGGGAAGCGTATGATTACTTTCACAGTTTCCTGGTAACAAGGGGAGCAGAAATTGTGAGGTAGGGATTTTCCCGGGTTTGCTTCTTTCTTCTGTGAGTTCATTCTTCCTAATGATTGTCCATGACCTGGTTTCATTCCACTGAATATCCATAAGTATAGTGTTGCCAGAATGAATTTATAGTAGATCACTTGCTTTGGGTAAAGGTGGAGGTTAATCTGAAGCATTGGTGTCAAGGTCAAACATATCCTATGGTACGAATTCACTTTCCTGATGTTGAAGAATATGTATTTTGTGGAGTCGTTACATTAATGAAACACCAACCAGCCATTTTCTGTCACATCGTTTGTGACCTTTTTTGCATGATTATCATTAATGCCTTATAAACTGCATATAATGACAGGGAGTTGGAGCAAGATGATGTTAAGGTCCTTTCCAACCCAAACCGTTCTGTGAGTCTATGATATAAATACCTTTGATTCATCTGAAAAATGATCACAGGTAATTTGGTTTGGTTTTGTTTTCAGGAAATGGTTATTTCACTGCTTCCCCCCCTCCCCCAAGTATTGCATATAAGTAAGATCTGTAATCTGCCAAATGATTGCAAAGTTTCCATCTAAGTCTTGTGTTTCTTCAGAGCAGCATGTTAAGTTCACTTTTCATGTCCATTAATGTCTTTAGCTTAGCAGAAAATGTGCATTAAACTAAGATTTTAGTTGATGGATTTATATCACTGGAATAAAAAACTAACCTCCAGAAAGTTTTCTAATGTTGCATTATACAGTTTTATTTCTGTAGAAGTATGTATTTTAATACATACGAAGAAAACGTCTCTCATGATTAGATATATTAAAGCTTGGTATGGATTTGGGTGCAATAATACCCATATTACATGTCACTTTCTCAACTACTTCAATGCTCTCCACTTGGGCTTAAACTTCCTAATGTTATGCTCATCTTAGTGCTCTAAAAAGGAAGTCCAAATTCCCACAAAAATGAATCCAGTAAACTTGTTACGATAGCCTTTTTAAACAAAGAAAAAAGCCGTTTACTAATTGATATCAAGAACTTAAACCCAGACCACCTAAAGTACAAAACGATAATACTAAACAGATGTCTGCTTTAGTCTTTGCAATGTTCTCATCTCTTCTTTTTTTCCTCCAAACCAGGTTTTGTGTTTTAATCTGAAGGGAGAAGATCTGGAATTTTTGAACACTCTGACTATCAACAGAAAATCAATTCCTGCAACCTATCCACTGTGGAAAGGATAACTTAAACCCAGATGGTCTTATACTGCAGAAGTGATGCAACTGAAGCACTGATTCATTTTAAACTGAGCAGTAAATCTAATTTGTTCTCCTGGGTACTCGGAGAGTACCTACTAAATACCGATCAAAAATCAGGATCAATGGCTTGTATTTACTATTACATTAACAGATGAATAAAATCATTTCCTTTGGACTTTACTTGCTGCATATATTTCATTTAAGAAGAACCCTTTGATAATGTGTTCTGAGGGCTTTTTCTGTATCCTTTCAGGATGGCTCATGTTCGTAGACTCCTCTGATGCAACTGTGAGTTGGCCAGCAGTGCTAGCACTAAGAGAGGATGCTGTTCTGATAGTGTCAGAGCACACAGCCTTTGGGAGGACCCCAGCTTGCAACTTCTTTTCTGACAAGATCAAAGCATTTTCTTGCAAGGAAATTGCCCTGGGATTTACCAGGTTTCTGAAATCCCCTCCATACTAAGTTCTTACTGGAAATTCCACAAGAACTTTGGTTGTCACAAGCGATTTTTGTTTGGTTTTTTGCCATGCCCCAAATCCAAATCACGAGTTTTTACTCCTCCTAAAACTCAGGTATATAAGGGCATATACATGCTTAGGATGCCTGTGAACAAAAGTGTCTGTCTCTTTATGCTTGTGGACATGTTGCAGAAACACTTTCAACCAGTTTACCCAGGTCAAATGGCTGTTAATGTGGCTTTGGTGCCCTGAAGTGCTCAGCCCTCATGCTCGCATTCCACCCAGACCTGCATTTGGCTTGTTCTTGCAATAGCGCATGAATGATGTTGTCCTTTCTGCTTATTCTTACTACAGGCAATTCCAGAGCTGAGTTTTTAAAGGACGTGTATACGCATTGGATATCTGTGGTGTATTTCACAGAAGGACGAGCTTCCTCAACAGGACTGTGGACAGTGGGGAGGTACTGAAGAACGAGTTCCTGTTCTGTTGGTGGGGATGGAGTATAACCATGGTGTAAAGCACCTCACTAAACACTCGCCAGCATACTTTTGGTAGAGGTGGCTGGACCAACCTGAATTTCCCTCTGTTGTATTTCAGCCCTTGTAAGCAGGCTGGAACCTGCGCAGCCAAGCCACGTGCTAGGTTGTCATCTCTGAGGTTTTGGAGAGCCTTCAGTGCAAATCCAGTTGATGGGGCTTCACTTCCCTGACAAGGATGAGATGTCAAGAGGGCTACAAATGCGTGTGGTCACCTAATTTTAATGATGCTCGTTGTGATACAAACACCCAAGTGTTTGGAGTGGAACTGAAATTGCCCAGGTATTTTGCACAGCCTCTAACAAATAAGTAGATGTCCCATCTCCGAGTTGGAGCCCTCACAGCTGGTTAACCAATAACCTGAACATGAAAGCCTGTACATCTGACTACTGAAACCCTGAGTCACTCTATCCTTTTTAATTAAAGCATGTTCCTTTAATGTGTTCCTGTTGCTTGAAACGGTGAGAATTATTTCCTAGAGGAAAATACCTAATGAATGCACCTTTAGTTAGTGTTGTCTATCAATTAGCTAAATAGGGGGGGAAGCTTGAACTATCTAGGGTACGTCAGGCAGTTGCAGGGGATGCATATGTCGACCTCAGGCATGATTTATCTGACATGCCTCTTCTGACAGTTGTAATTTAACGGCTGTGTTTTCCTCCCAGGCTCGCAGGAGGCTGAACATCTTTTCAAGTTTCTAGCTTTGTGGTGGCAGGGTAAATGTCTGTTTGCCAGTGTCATTTATCTGAGTCATTCTGGGAGAGGCGTGGAGCAATTGAAGCGTGACTATTAGCATAAATAAAGAGAGGGACACCCTTCCTGAGGGTAAAGTTACTCTCACCCTCAAAGCCAACAGCTGTACTGCTTATGGTGCGATGCGATGTGAACTAAAAGACCTAATACAGTAAGCTCTGCTCTATTGTGACATTCTTTTGCCTTGCAATTTGAAATGGAGTTAAAGAGAACAGAGCAAGGAAGGAAGAGGAGAAATTATGCAGTAAACACAACAGATTGCCACTGGAGTTAGCATTTAATGTACACTGGGGGGGGGGGGGTGTCTTCCAAAAGTCTGAAGAGAGAAGAAATTAAAAACCCTAAGCTCACTTCTTAGTCTCTGTAGTCTCAGTGCTGAGTAGCTGTCATTGCCAACTTTAGTTTGACAAGCAGCTTTAAAACTTTTCTTTTTCAGACAGTGGGTTTCTTACAGCACGCTCGGAACAGTGGAAGATGCGTTTTTCACATGGGAACACCAACCCGTGGTGATGTTTGACGGTGTCATGGGGGGGGGGGTCCCTGCCCTATGCCCCCCTCCTCCCCCCGGTACCCCCGGGCTCCTGCGGGCTCCCGGGGGGCGCGGGCGAACGCGCTCTTCCCGGCCCCAGCCTGAACCGTGCGGATGGGGAGGAGCCTCTTCCAGGTATTTCCTTAAGCACTACTTACACCGTCCCTCGGGAGCGAGGGCGGGGGTGGCTCTGGGGAGCCTTGCTTTGGCCTTATCCCTGTGGCGCCTGCTCGAAGCGGTGCGAGCGGGGCTGGGGGCGATGCTCTGCGGCATCCCCGGCTCGCGTTCCCCGCCTGCTCTCGGCCGCGGGGCGGGTCCCGGCGCGAAGGGCCGTCGGACGAGCCGCCCCGCAGGGAGGAGTTAGAAGTTGGGGAGCGGCAGCCGCACGAGCACTAAAACCAGCGAGCCCCTGGCTCAGCCGCAGGAGTTGCTCAGCGGACGCGCAAAATGCGCCGTGCCGGCGGGGGCTCCGCGCCGCGCTTAAGCGAGGTGAGGCTCGGGGGTTCGCGCACCGCTGCTCGCGAAGCAAAAGAGGTGGGGGGGGGCAGCGCGGTACCTGCCGAGCCCGGCCTGTGGGGCCGCGTCCCGCACAGGCGGGCGGAGCGGGACCCGTGGGTGCTATAAACAGGAGCGATACGAGCAGCAGACGGGGAGCGGAGCGGGACAGAAGCGGTGCGGGAGCAGTGCGAGGCGCAGTTGAGGAGCGGTGCGGGTTTGAGCCCGGGAGCGGTGCGAGGTGCGGAACAGGAGAGCTGCGGGACAGGGAGTGCGGGTTGGAGCCCGGGATCTATGCGAGGTGCGGGACAGGAGCGGTGCAGGCAGCAGATCGGGAGCGGTGCAGGACCGGTGTGGACTCAGGCTTGTACCTCCTGCTTTACCCCGCTTGGGCTGTGATTTAACAACTCTGCCTGTTCTTGCGAGATTTCACATCTTTAGCTCTCTTTAAATGTCCACTCGAACGTGTTCGTGTGTAAAGGGAGTTTCCTCCGTAGCTGTACTCCTTCATCATGCCCGTTTCAAAAGTTTGCAATGCTAATTAGTCAACTGCAAAGTGCTTTCTTTTGCCGTTCTTTGTTCCAGACCCACAGAAAGGGCTTGCTACCTGCCTTATTTACATCTTTTTTCTTGACTTTTCCAAACTTCTTTTCCGTGTAAAGCATGTTCTTTAGTTAGCAAAGACGCTCCTCTCCCCTTTACAGCTTTGAGATGATCTTTTGCTTGCATATATACATCAGTGAATTCACCACTGTTTGAGGTGGCATCAGTAAATGGCAGAATTGCCCCTTCCAAAGCGCAGTCAGACTTTACTAACGGAGGAAATACAGGTTAAGTAATTCCTGAGCAGGCTTTCACACGTTTGCAGTTCAATCAGATCAAAACCTTTCCCTTTCTGAATCTCTGCTGTCGTATTACAAGGTGTGTTTCCTACTGAAGAAAAAGTTTCACTCGAACTTCTTGCTGGGGAGCTTTGCGCTCTTTCATGTTGGTAGAAGTCCCATAATGCAGTCCCTGCATTTTCCTGCTTGGCTCTGCGTGGCAGGACTTTTTTTGTTTCATTAGCCTATTCAATAGTCGTAAATCACCTTTTAAGTCTATTTTTTTTAGCAGCTAAACAAAAGCAATTCCTGTGTGAATACATTTGTCACTCTGATCTACAACTGGGCAAGCAGGTGGTAAACCTGTATCATTTATTGCCTTGTTTGCCTGCCCCTGTTAACCTGTGTGTCTCCTGTTGCCAGGGCTGCTGATTCTGAGGCTGTGCAGCAGTTCGGGGCTGGCTGCAGGGCCAGTATTGTGCTCGGCATCACCATGAGCTTTGGCACCACTGCGCCGCTGAAGGTCGTCAGCAACCTCGCCAACACCGATGTCAACTATGTCATCAAAGAGCACTATAATTACACAGGAAAGCTAAATGAGAATGCGGACAGTGGAATAAAAGTGACATCGGTGGTTTTTATCATCATTTGCTGCTTTATAATCTTGGAGAACATTTTTGTCTTGCTCACCATCTGGAAAACCAAGAAGTTTCACAGACCCATGTACTATTTCATTGGAAATTTGGCTCTTTCAGACTTGCTGGCTGGTGTGGCCTACACTGCCAACCTCCTGCTATCTGGACACAAAACATACAGCCTCACTCCCTCCCAGTGGTTTGTAAGGGAAGGCAGCATGTTTGTTGCCTTGTCAGCTTCTGTGTTCAGCTTGTTGGCCATTGCCATTGAGAGATACATCACTATGCTGAAGATGAAACTCCATAATGGCAGCAACAGCTTCCGCTCCTTCTTGCTCATCAGTGCTTGCTGGGTTATCTCTGTGATCCTTGGGGGACTCCCAATCATGGGCTGGAACTGCATCAACCTCCTGTCCAACTGCTCCACTGTGCTGCCCCTCTACCACAAGCACTATATTCTCTTTTGCACCACTGTTTTCACCGGCCTTTTGTTATCTATTGTCGTCCTCTATTGCAGGATCTACTCCATGGTGAGGACTAGGAGCCGCAGGTTGACGTTTAGAAAAAACATTACCAAAGCTACCAGGAGCTCAGAGAAGTCACTGGCCTTGCTCAAGACAGTGATCATAGTCCTGAGTGCCTTCATCGTCTGCTGGGCTCCCTTGTTCATCCTGCTTTTACTGGATGTGGGGTGTAAAGTGAAGTCCTGCCCGATCCTCTACAAAGCAGAGTATTTCTTAGTACTGGCCGTGCTCAATTCAGCCACGAACCCTATCATCTACACCTTGACAAACAAAGAGATGCGGAGGGCTTTCATCAAGATTCTGTGCTGCTGCAAATGTCCCCCGGCAGATTCTGGGACCAAATTCAAAAGGCCCATCATTGGAGGGATGGAGTTCAGTCGGAGTAAGTCTGACAACTCCTCCCACCCGCAGAAGGAGGAAGGGGACCATCCTGAAACCATCATGTCTTCAGGCAATGTTACCTCATCTTCTTAGGAGTAACTACGGGGGTATATTTCAGAGCTGTTCTCTGAGATGGGGGAGCTTAGAGGCCTCCTGCTCGTGGCGGCAGCGTTGGGCTAAGTGAGCGAGTAGCATTAGTTCTAGCGAGGCAAACGGTGCACTTGCAAGGCTGGAGGTCAAGAAATGGGACAGACTGTTCTGGCTTGGAAATCTCTTTTCCCTGGCGCGTGTTTTGTCTTTGCACTGAGGCAGCTCAGGATTGTCAGGCGTATTCGTAGCCTGAAGTCTCCTTAGTAACTCTGAAAGACTGATGCCTTGGTGAAATGATGCCTGGTGTGTGTGGGAGAAAAGGAGAGGGGGAGGAGGGAGAGGGAGAATGAATCTGTCTTCGTTTTTTCCCCCATGTGAGAAGAATGTGAAGTTATTTCTCCTTTACTTGCAGCAAACCACTGACACAAAGGTCTTTCTGTGCTGAATCTGGTGGTGGCTCTGGCATAGTCGGTCAAAAGTGTTTGATTAGCACATAACAAGAAATGAGAGCACACAAATATAACTTAGGCTATGTACAGCTGTAATTTGGCATCA